TACCTCACAAATTGCGCGCTCCAATCTTCCATCGCAATCTTGCGATACGCGGCGGGTGCGGCGCGTGCGACGCCGTGCTAGGGGAGAAGTTCCCGGACCCGTGCTTCTAGTAGGATTTGTCCAGCAACACGTACACATACTGTAAGCACCCACATCTTATCACGTTACACTTCACACATACACACAATCCCCAGCATCCACTTCACCAGTATTGGACGCACCCTGACTAAATCACAGCCCATCCTTTTGAACGCCATTTTCCAATCATTTCCAGAAACGGCAGCGCAATTTACAAGAATGGAAATCTAATGATTTGTTACGCCCTGGATTGGATTGAACCAATTCACCTTATTGATATCAATGCAGATCGAATCGAATGCTCGTACAACATCGTCATGGCAGTCGAGATTTTCTACGCCGCCCTTCTCTTCAAATAGTTGCCTCCTGAAACGGTCTTATTCTTAGTGGGTTGCAAACTGCATTACTAATTACCTACAAATCACTAACAAATTTAAGAAATAACCTTTCATCCTCATCAGCAACGAGGTTCTTGACCAGGTTTGTAAAGACTTCTCCGATTCTGTGCCGTTCCTAAATTTGGTTGCGCACTTCAGTTATTCATTAGGGAGGTGGCTCAGGCAGTATGTGGGGCATTACGTGTCTTTGTCATTGGCAAATATTGTCCCATCATTATGAGTGATTACCGGCAATGCATACTATTCATAAAGGTGTTTCGGGATATTGGGCTAGATATTTCTCGTACTATGCCCTGAGCAGTGCGTTTCTTCAGAAACTTGACTTCCTCGTGAGTAAGACACCCTCAAGTGTTCGTGCAATTACATACCGACACCTTTCTTTCAAAGACCCTGATCTAGAACTCTGATTTCCAGAACGACTCTATGAATCTACATAGTATTGACGATGTCAGGAGATGACCCAGGTGCATGCTTATAAGAGGTGAATTTTTGATACTACGGACAAAACTATTGAAATGGCTGTTTAGAGGGATGCTAATACATTCCGGAGAAAACAGCTAGCGAGTTTCGGCAGGAAGATTTTATTGATGCAGCTCTTTCAGGCTAGCACCATTTTTGCTGACTGCCCCACTGATTTGTTGCTTTCGAAACTAACAAGTTTCAGTGGTACAAAAGGATTAATTTTAAAGGGATTCCCTACAACACCCACCTCCTTAATACGAGCGATTTCGTGGTCGACTGTGGCTGACAATGAGTGGGCACCGAGCAGTCTTATGTTCTGAAGGTGCAGAAGTTCGACGTCTCTTGATGGCCACGAAATTCTATGGTGACGAGGCTAAAAATCTCGTTGTGAAGTTTAAGCAGAAGCGTCGTTCCGGATGCTAAAGCTGTGGTCTACAACATCCCATCAAGGGTTTGGAAGCTCCTTAAACTGGCGTACTGGATCGAATATGTCTAACTTGCCATTTCTCAAGGAAAAAATTAGATTCCACGCTCACCATTCCACTGCTTTCGCTAATCATCAACACATCTTCGCGAGGGCCCTGGAACCAGCCAACTGGTTCATCAGCTATGCTCAGATTTCCGTAGTGCATCACATGGGATTCAAGGGTGAGTTCCTTCACCAATTCGAATTGTTCGTCCAACGTCTCAAGGGTGATGTCCTGCTGAAACACAATTATACTATTCAATGTTATACCCATCTACTGTCAGGTACTCATAATAAAATCGAGTGCAGCACCAAGGTGAAGTAGACGTGAACTCCCTCGAAAATAGGAAGTCGAAGCTTTCTGTGAGTCACTAGAGGCAATCAGCCATGGCCTGCAATGGATTTACAAACGTTTTACGCTGTGTTGGGTCGACTGTCCGACTACAGTGACACTGCAAGCCTAGCTGAGCCTTGTCTCGGGCCATATTATCTGCTGTGCGAACACTGAGCAGTGAGGACGAGCGTTCGCCCAGTTGGCGAAGGGCACGGAGAATTTCATGGTGATTTGAACGGTTTTGGCGCCTATTATTGGGGCGCATATTTGGAGTGGGGTAGATAAGCCCTACTTGTCCAACCTACTCAGAGGCTGTGCCCCAAGGATAGGCACCGAGATCACCCCGAAGTTCACTGGGGTAACGGAACTTCTCCCCTATCGCGGCCTACTCCCTTGCGGCATGCGGCAAATGCCACTGCAATCACCGTACTCACCCCGCCTCCCGCCAATCGATAGGACGCGATATTTTTCCTTGACTGGCTTGCTTTTT